CCCCAAAACCCCAAAACCCCAAAACCCCAAATTGATCATAGCAATCTTTTTTTGAAATTATAATTATGAAATTAAGATTTTAGAGGTTGATAAAATTCATTTATCCTCTTACTTGACTTCTTGTTCTTAATTTAGTTTAATTTTTTCATTATCAGAGTCTTGCTCGCTTTCATATTCAGAGCCATATTCTGACCCTTCTTCCTCACTGCTTGATTCGTTTTTGATTTCCTTAGCAATCTCCATTGCCTTTACTAGATCTTTATTTTCTTGATCAATTTATTCCTAGTAACTTTTGCCCACAGTTTTATCCTAGTCTGTAATTAAATGTCTCTTTACCTCTTCTAGTCTCTGTTGCAGCTTGGAGTTGTTGTTACTCTAAGAGGATTTAAGTGGTCCTTCCATTATTCTATCAATCATTTTATCGTAGCCTTGGATCTCGAAATGTCTTCTTACCTCTGAATTTGGAAGCTCTAGCCTTAATCTTCTCTACTATTCCATTAGATACTATGCTGGGTTATCTTTATTCTTCTTTTGAATCTCCATATATTCTTGCTGATTTTTTTCTAGTCCTTTCTTCAAAGAAGTTAGGTAATTGTCGATCATGATTCTATTTACTACCATCTCCTTTTTAGATTCTAATTCAAAAACTCTTGTCACTGCAAATTCCAGAGTCATGCCTTTCATCAGTCTTTCAAGAATGTGAATAACAAGTTTCACTAAATTTATTTGATTTATCAAGATTCTCTTGAATTCCATTCTATAGGTCAAGCCAAAGAATTATCTACCGGTTAAAAATTCTTACTGTTCCTTTAGTATCCTTTTATCTTCAGCAATACTTGTTGGAAAGCTCTTTAGGAATGTTTCATATACATCTCTTAATCTTTAAAAAGAGAGATATTCTAAACTTAGCGACCTAGTTTCAACAATGCAAGAGATATCATCCTCTTTCACGTTGAAGTTCAGTATCTTTATAAACTTTAAAACCTTTGTATTAAGCTTTTACATATATATTCTGAAATGTCTTGAGGATATGTCCATCTTATCAGACTCAGGGTCAACAGAAAAAAATTTCCTGATTACATACTTTCTGTAGACAAAGTCTGGGTCTTGTTATTCAAGTCTCAACTTAATGAACAAGTAGTTATATTTGTTGTAAGTTAGACAAAAGCCATATCTCTTAAGCTATTCTCTATTGGACATTCTTCCATAGCATAAAAAAACTTGAGATCCCCTAGGAAAGCCCTCATTGTAAGTTTTAATGACAAAATTAAAGTCATCTGGCACTTTTGAGACAGTATTTTCCCAAATGTCATAAACTTGCTAATTAGTTAAAACTGGTGCAACATCCTCTCCATATGATGGTAGCTCACCTCTTTGTCTTTATTCCTCTTCCTCCGTTTTCTTTTACTACTGTCTGAACTTTAAAGCATTTAGTTGCTCCTATTCAAGTAGAAGATCAGCATCATTGTCGGAGTCTATTCCACTTGAATAATCATAATCACATTTATTTTCTTGCTTCTATTTCTTTTCCTATTTCTCATCATTTTCATATTCAGAAGATTCTTCACTACTGCTTTCACTGCTGCTATCTAATTAAACTCTTAGTTTAAATTCCATTTCTTTCCTCTTGGCTTCCTTTTCAAAAGCCTCCATCATTATTTAGTTTTCAGATTCATCCTAAAATTCTATATTTTTGTTTTGTATATTCCTTAATTCCTAATCCATCTTCTTCAAATCTTCTCTCAACTCCTCCATAAAGAGTTTTTTCTTTAGAGCTTGCATTAACCTCTGCTCTTTTTCTTCTTTTTTTCTTTCCTCTCTTCTCCCTGTTATAGATTTATCATTTTAGTCTAAATAGTCATACTAAACATCAACATTCTCGTGATTGATTAAGTCAGCATAAGGAATCATAGAACAAACACCTGGCCAATTTGAGCCAAAGCATCTGTTTGTAGTCAGCATGTATACCCATTTATAGATCTCAAAGGAAAGACATTCTTCATTTGGAAAGAACTCTGGGTATTTTCTAAGGACATCTAATATATTCCGCCAAAACATAATGAGAGTCTTATATTCATTTTAAGCGTCTTATTTTAAAGTAGGATCCTAGAGCCAATCTAAATCCTCATCATCCCAATTCATTAGAATATCGGTGTCTCTTGGCCAAACATCAAACATTGGCTTCCATGATGAATTTTCACCCTTCGCTAGTTCATAAAGAAGAAAAGCATTAAGGACATTATCCTCTCCACCTGGTACATGCTTACCAAAGACTTGAGGATTTTCTAAGAAAACTTTATTAATGTCACCTCTGAAACAAGTCTTGATAGATAAGAGCAATTTAGCAGGAACTTTGACAATTATCTCATCTTTTCCTATATCTTCTGTTGCCATCATACCGGGATATTTGCTGTCACCTGAGCCAAATAAGACTGGGTATTTGACTTTGGGATGTTGCACTCCGTTTTCCTCACACCATTTTAAGAATTTTTCGAATTTCTCCTTCATCTAATCATAGCTAGATTCCTCTAAAAATGTCTCGTCATATTGCTTCTCAGGCTTATGAATGCCCTTAATGCTGTTGAATAGCTTTAAAAATGAAAATTTTATCTCTCTGTCCATTTTAATATATAAGTAGTTAATCTCTCGTATTATGTAGTGTTTATTATTTAACCTTCAATTAGAATGAAATATTGTGATTTGATGTACATGGGGTTTTGGGGTTTTGGGG